TGCTGTCAGTGACCAGAGGGGATGGAACCCCTGTGTCCTGAGCCCTGGTCTCCTGTGTGGGGGCAATAACCAGGGATGCCCCAGGCACGAGTCCATTGCAGGAGGTTGCAGATTAACAGGTGTGGGACTCAGGCTGAAGTGGGAGGGTGGCAGAGGAAGGCAGAGACAGGCATGGAGCAGAAAGAGAAGCTCACGAAGCCACGACGATTGTGTGCAGTTTCCTTGTGAAAAGGCAGATCAAGGCCTTGCAGAAAATGAGCACTCTTTTTTCCCAGCGCCGCTGTAGGGGGCCTTGCTGGCTGGACTGTTTCTAGGACAGCTCAGGTAGTAGCACGGAAAAATTACCTTTTCTTCCTTCCAGCAAATGTTGCCATATCAGTCTGAGCTGGTGGAGAACAGAGTAACGCATTCAACCTTAATGGATCTTCTGTCTCTGTAGCAGGAGGAAACTGTTACAGGCTGCAGCAATTCACTGTGATCCAAAGGGAAACTCAGCTTGCAGGTATGGCAGAATCCACTCTTGGTGCTGTGCAGACACTGCAAGTTCATCCCTGGGAAAGGAGGGTCCTGCGCGCAGCCCCGGTGCAGATACCTGCCGTCCAGCTCCCGCTGCTGTACAGGCAGTGCCAGTTAGCACAGATCTTCACAGGCGAGCCCCAACTCTTTATCAGGAATTAAATCTGCCTGTGAGGAGTTCGTGAACCCCCTGCACTGAAAATGGACATGCAGCTTCTGAACCACTTTGGGGGGCAGAGGAGTGCTGCGCTGCTGTGCGTGCTCAAAGTATTTCTGAATCGGATCCTACTGGCCACTGAAAAATGCTTTAGTGCCTGCAGCAGCTGCTGAAATTAAGAGGAAATTAAATACCTTCTTCTGGATTAGGTATTGCAAAATCTCTCATTCCGGCCTGTGTGGAAGTTGAACTGCTTCCTTTGTTTCTGAGGTGAAGGATATTTTTGTCAACTGCAGTGTCTGATTTTTATTATTATATTTTTTTTTTTTAATAAGGGCCTGTTTATTTATTGGAAGTCTAAACCCTCTTTGTACTCTTAAAATCAGCTTTTAGCAGCTGGGCTTTTCATTAAAGGTGCTGATAGGTCATATGTTATCACAGGTGACCTTCAAGAACAGTAAAGGGCACGTTTTGATCCTGAAGGTGATGGTTGGAAAAGATGAAGCTCTCCTACCGGCGTCGTTCCAGGCGAGGGCCTCCCTTGGCTGTGCCTGCAGCTCCTTTCCATATCTCTCTCTTGCAGCCGTAGTATCTCAAGGGTGGTTTGAGGACTTATTTTCTCTTTGCCTTTTCCTGGTGAGTTTGCAAGAGGTCAGTGAGTCTAACCTCCAGCAGTTCCTCCTGTTCTGGGCATAGAAAGAGAAAAGCCTGATTTAAAGTCCACACGTCTGCAGCTGTGAGATGTACAGGTCACTAACCAGTCCAGGCATGACTTCTGTACGTGGTGAAGGATGTTTGTAATATGGTTCCTCCTCTTTTTCACGTGTGTGCATTCATGACAAGGGCATTGCTTGCTAGCTGTGGAAAATGGCTGTGGTGGGGCTGGGGGAGAGCTGCCCTTGGCTACCCCGGAGCATCCGCGTGCTCAGACTTTACTTCTGGCTCCCGTCGGACGCAGTGAAAGATTGGTCCAGGCACTTGTCCCACTTGCTCTACTCTGGTTAAACACACCGGATTAAATTATTCCTAATCCACACTGGAATGAAAAGAAAACCAGACCCTCAGTGTTTATTTGTCATGGAGATTTTACACTCAGTGGAGAGAAGCCTATCTTGGAATGGAAATAGCGGAGGGGGCAGCCCGAGTGGGCAGGGGGACTCCCTGAAGCCACTGGATGACCTACCCCATCCCTCAGACCGTGGGCTCTTTGGGGCAGGGACTCTGGTGTGCCTCCCTGTGACTATACCTCAGTCACCTTCTGTGACACAAGCAGTATTTTGTATACCCAGAGTGGCTGTTTGGTGGTGGAGGTGATGGTCCTCGAGTCCTCCAGAGCTCCACCTCTGCCAGACATGCTTGAAGCAGTTACTATGGAGGGAAACTTGTGTTTCCTCAGTCTTGTCAAAGCTGGGCAGTCCGCTCCTATATATTACTTGTTCATTTATGATCTCTTTTGTACCTTGTAAAACGACTAAAGAAAAAAGTAAGCGCTGTTCTCAAAAACTATGTAAATACTGATGATGAAATAGCAGCGCCCAGCAATGCTTTCTGAGTTTTACTTTTTCCAGGCAGGCCACTCCTACCCTTCAGTTAATAATTACACGTAAGGAGGTACCAATTTATGGCAGGATGACATGGAAGTAGTAGAAGACGCGAAGTAAACTCGACAATGTCAGGAAAACGGTGGTTTTGGTTTTTTGGGTTTTTTTTGGTTTTTTTTTTTTTGTAAGTGTGCTGAAATGTATCCAGCAAAGAAGTGGAATATCGGCCTCTTCAGTCAGTGGCCCATCCTCCCTGGCAGGAACGGCCCCGGCCCATCAGGGTTTGGTGAAGGTGGTGCAGTAACGCTGCTGAGGAGCTTGTGCCGATCCAGAGGCAACCTGGCACGGCCCTCCCTTCGGTTTCGCAGATAACGTCACTTTGGACTAATATGATGTGACTCATTAAATCAATCTCTTGAGCGGACAGTTTCTTGACATCAAACTTGACAACAACAGGGCAACGATACCGCTGTAACAACTGCAGAGCCTGGAACCGAGCTCTCCGGGTTGGCATCACAAGTGTTGTTATCCCTGGGTAGCGCCTGGCCGTTCTCCCCACCGTGACCTTTGCTTCTGCAACACGCTTTCTCAGTAACTGAGGTTTAAGTAGTTTTGCTCATCCTTTGATTTATCCGAGGTCCCTGTCCCCAGCCAAGACTTGGCTCTCCAAACTGCATGGCTGGCCCTTCAACCTCTGGTGACTTCCAAACCTCCGTGTCATTTCACCTTCCTGTTGTAACATTTGATTATATGTTTCCACGTCCCCCGTCCGCCTGAATTCCCTGAAAATGGTGAAATGTGGCAAAGCTTTTGGGACGAGCAATTACCAAAACCAAGGCTGTTTCCTGCTCTTGTTTTCACCGACACCCGCAGCACCGGCCGCTGTGGAACGACGGGCTGTCTGAACCTCCCCTGGCCGTCTCCTCTGCGTACAGAGATCGCAGCTCCTCAAAGATCTTAATTGTCTTTGACATTTCCCATTCAGGGTAAATGTGTGTAAACCTTCACGCTCTTGGAAATACTTTGTGTTTGGTGTTTGCTCTGGGACAGGAATTCAGTCAAATGTGCTTTATCGAGAACCTTGGTTCCAGCTATTTCTGAGCCATTTCAGGGCGAGCTTGGCCCCAGCTTTGCTGCCAAGGAGAAGCCTGTGAGCGTGGGCACGATGAGAGGGAGTCGGTGAAGGGGTTTGCCCCCTTGAGGACTGGTAGCTTTTAGATAAGCATGGTCGTAACGAATAAACTCCCTGGATGAAGTGATTTCACCTTACCTTTTGAGCCAGGTAGATTTGACGGCACGTGCTTTTGCCGGAGCCTTTGTGACCAGCGGGACGGAGGGTCCGGTTCCAGGGCTGCTGAGGGGCAGCGAGCTGCTTGGCATCGCCTTTCTGCAGGGCAGCTCCTGTCCCGCTTGGTGAGCCAGGAAATGCCCTGGAGATGCCACCCAAGGGGTTTTCCCAACAAATCTGCGCACACGACTGAAGTTCTCTCTGTATAAAGCTTGCCCTTCCCAATGGAGGACAGATATCCAGCAGCAATAGATCGAACTGCAACAAAAACACTTCTTTGTCCCCAGAAACTGCCACCCTGCTGCCCAGGAGCAGCCTTACGTGCTCATGAGACACAAACCAAGGCCTTGTGCACCATATTTTCTGGCTGTCTAGAAGGAATATTGCTTGGCCTCCTATTCAGTTTCGGGGGGGGGGGGGGGGGGGGGGGCGGTGGTGTTTGGTAGATGAAAAGCCATCCGCAGCTGTTGCTGAGGGTTTTGAGACACCAGGTGTAACTGGAAAATGAAAGGGAAGGCAGGGCTGAGCCTCTCAATCTGGGCTCCAATAATGATAATGATTCAATTTAAGCTTCATCAAAGAAAAGAGGGAGGGAGGATGGAGGAGGCGGTTTGATCACAGGGATGCCCATCAGCCAAGTCATAACCCGAGGCATGCTGAAGGGGCAGGTCAGTGAAAGGCCAGGCTTTCTGGGACTGGGATTACTGGTCCTGCCGCGCCTCCGGGCAGGGGGAGCTGGTCGGTGGGACGAGCTGCCGGTCGCCCCGGGGGTGGCTGTGGCCACCTGGCTTGATGCAGGACAGAGCACAGGGCACTTGGAGCTGAATCTCCATCGCGTATTTACACCTGAGGAGCTTTGGGACTTTTTCAGTCACACCCTGGGGGAATGTGTTTGTTCATCCTTTGCTCCGGCAACGCTGGCCTCAGCATCCCCCACTAATTTCTGAGAGCGTGCAAATATCGATATAGCTGCCAGAAATCCATTTAAAATCAAGTATCTTAGCAGCTGGGACAAAGCAGTAAAGAAAAGAGATTTCTAACAGCTAGCACACACGTCAAGTTGTGCCCGATTTTGTGCTTTACAACAAGCCATGTTCTTAATCAGTTTTTGGGCCTGGTGTGAGCGCAGCCCGGGCTGCAGGCAACTCCGACGGCCGCGACCCTGCAGTAAAGCCAGAAACACGGCGCGTCCATCCCTGGAAATGTACTTGAGATCTCCGCGGGTGTCGCTGCCCCGGTGACATCCCCGATGCCCAGCGATGATAAACAGACCCAGCCGCGGGGCCGGGCTCCCTTACCGGCATTATTCTAGTAAGGACGCGATAAGATAAGATGCTCTTCCTCCCCAGCTCTCTGACCTGTGCCCCCCGCCGCCACCTGCACCCGGGAGTATTTGCATGTTAAAAGCGGGGAGGGGGGGGGGGGGGGGGGAGATAAAAGGCACGTAGTAGTTTGCCAAATTACGGAATTTCTGCCAGCGTTACTGGGTGGAGGAGGAAGCGCGGGACGCCCGCGCCCTGCCTCCCGCTCCAGCGTATTTAACCGGCAGAATCCTGCCTGGAGCCACATCTCTGCTCGGGGAGGGACGCGCCGGCTCGGGGAAGATGAGCTGCGGCAGGTACCCGGTGGATGTGAAGGCTGTAGGCTTGATGCAATGCAGAAAGCAGAAGGTATTTGAATTTTTTTGTTGTTGTTGGATTTTTTTTTTTTTTTTTTTTTCTCCTTAAACATTTACAAATTGGGGAACTAGGGGGCTTTTTGAGTTGCCTTTACAGAGGTGTGTTTGCTTCTATCTCCGCAGCGTTGGGATTAGAGTCTTGTAATCTAAGACAGGAGTCTGGGACTTGTTTTTTTAATGGGCTTAATATCATAAGAAAATGGTTCTCTTGGATTCTGCTGTTTTTCTGGTAGCAGTGTCATAAAATTCTTCTGGTTTTAACAATGATTACCCATTTGGGGCCCTAAAATTAAGGAAATATTTTTATAGGTCTAACGTTTAATTTGATTTTTTGATGTGACAGTCTTTAGCCTGAAGCCAGAATGAAACCACAGGTCTTGGCAAATGCCAATTGTATCCAATATTGAACACTGTAATTAAAAAAAAAAAATAAAAATCCTTTTCCCTTTTATTTTTCCAGAACTACATGATATTAGTGTCTTGGTCAGATCAGAACAACATCCTCATCTACAGGACATTTGAAAACTTTAAGACATTCCATGTAAGTGAATATCTCCCTGAAACTAGGCTTCCCATCGTGGGAGGGGGGAAGGAGCCCAGCCGCGTGTTGGGGCTGGGAAGCACCACTATTCTCTCCTTCTCGCTTTTAGAAAGAGCTGAAGAGAAAATTCCCCATCGAGAGTGGCTCACTGAGGAGATCTGACCGGACAATACCCAGGTTTAAAGGTAAGGAGAACAAATCTCTGATGGACCAACAAACACGACAGCGCTGTGGGGGCCAGTTGTACCTGGTGGCACAGACTTCAGTCCCCGAGTCTGACCTTCCTCCGGAACAGACCGACAGCTCGCTCCTGGTCGCAGCGTGGTACTGCTGGGTTACATCAACGTGCTTGGGTCTATTACTGACTGAAAATAACCCAGACAGACCTTTTTTTTTTTTTTTTTTTAAATAGATAATTGGTAAATTAATATTACACTTTAAATATTGGCCCAGAGCTCCTTGTAACGTTCACATGTGAACAAAGATAAATTTTAGATATTAAAAATTTCTATCAGGCGCTATTAAAAATAATAGGGAGGCAGAGGCAGCTGCTGTCTCAGCTTCTGACAGTTTGGACTTGTGTGGGGAAGGGCGGTAGGTGAGGGCACCCCCCTGTTCAGGCGAACAATACTGCTCGTAGGGCACCCAGAGCCATTGTTGTCTTACACCAGCTTTGCTCCTGTTATTTTAAAGATGCAAATGTGAAGCAGAGGAAGAGCAGGAAGCTGAACCGGTGCCTGGAGATACTGAAACTGCTGGAAACTTACTCCCAGGAGCTGCTGAAAACAGATGCTAAAATCTCCCAGGGTGAAGACGTGATTCAGTTTTTCAAGGCACAGACCCAAGACCTAGATCCCTCCTTTCCTGAAAACAGGTATGAAGTCAGATTTGTATTTTTGTGTTTGTATGTGTCTTCATGAAACAGAAATATTATAGAGTATGGGTAGAAGAGAAATAAGTTACATACTGGAACGGCAGAGCAGGGAAGTTCCACCAAATGTTTTAATGCACATTTATGTCGTTTCTGATGCCTAAGCTTTTCTTAGCCTACTGCCTAGATGATTTTACCAAAATTCATACTAAACTCAACCTGCCATCTGAGTTTTTAGTAAACCAACATTAAACTTGACTTTTCAGTGTTGTGATAATGCCATCAGAAATCGGAGGGGAAAAGAAAAACCAGCCACGGCAGCAGCTCTCCTCTATTACACATCCCCAGGCATCCCAGAGCTACAGATGCATCGAAACCTTTGAAACCAAAGACGCAAAGAACGAGACTTTCAAAGTCGCTAAGAGGGAAATTGTTGAAGTGTTAATCAAAGACATGACTGGTATGTTTGACAGGGATTCTTCAGTTTCAAGGAGGGATGGTGCAGACTGATTCACGGCTTGGCAAACGCCAAGTCAGGAGCATCGTGGGTGCGGGTGGGCGTTTGTCCACGTGGTGTGCTTACCTGGATTTACATGGCAGGAAAGAACAAAGTGGCAGCAGAGCCTTGGCCAAGCTCTGCAGAATGTCCCTCCTGCCTCTTGTGGCAGAGCAGCCAGGGATCACGCTCATCTCTCTACTTGCAGGCTGTTAAAAAACATTTTTTGGCTCTTTGCTGCAGGATGGTGGCTAGTGGAAAATGCAGACAAGCAGATAGCCTGGTTCCCAGCCTCGTACCTGGAAGAGATTGACATCCACAAGGACATCCAGAATGCCTTGAGCTCAAACGAGGAAGGTAAGTCTGCTTCTGGCTCCCTGGAACATCACATTCCTCCTTCAAAAAAACATGAGTTCTGCAAAAACCCCACCACTTTAACCATTGCTTGGAGTTCCTGCCTGGAGCTCTGACTTTCCTGAGCAGCTCTGCCACCAGCTGTGGATCCCTGAGCAAACCAGTCACTCACAGGGACACACACCCTGCAGCTCTCGCTGGCTGCCCAGGGCTGCTGAGCTGCTCTGTCCCAGGGGTGGAGGCGTTTTATCTGCAAGGCAAAACCGACGTGTGTCCCCTTCTCCCTGCAGCCAGCCTGTACTTTGTTGTGCGGGCCTATGAGTCTCAGAAGGCAGACGAGCTCTCCCTGAACGGCGTCGTCGTGGAGGTGCTCAGAAAATCTGAAGACGGCTGGTGGCTGATCCGGTAAGGCAGCTTTTCCGAAGCTCTCCTCCTCCCCTGAGGCAGCCAGTTCCCTGCTGCAGGTGCCTCTCGCCTGCTCCTCCCCAAGCGGGGTGCAGAGCGGCTCCCCCCAGGCTGACTGCCCTCTCCTGGGGATGGTTTTCCCCTTCCTCATGCCCCACGTACAGCACAGCACTGCAGCTTCCTGTGGGCGCTCTGCTCCCTCCCCTTGGTCTGAGCCGGGAGAAGGGCTCTTTCCAGTGTTGCTTTTCATCCTTCCCCCTCAGGTACAACGGCCATACCGGCTACATGCCCTCCATGTGCCTCCAGCCCTACAAGAATCCTCACCACAAGCTCCAGACTATCATAACCTGTGGGCTCAACGTCTCCACCCCAAATCTCTGCTCTTCCCTGGTGGCTCCCCAGCCCCGGGGCGAGGCCGCAGGACGGCGCAGGGTGCAGGCTTGCTCTGCCCTTCACCAGACCCAAGAGGATGAGAGTTCTCCAAGAAGCAGATCGAGGTCTCTGCCCAGGGCCAGCTCCACCCCGGAGCTGGAGTCAGACAGCTTGTCCCTCAGCTCGGGGAGCGGCAGCGAGCGGGACGGCCGCCTGAGCTGGAAGCCTGACTTGTCAAGATCTCTGCCCGAAGTCGAACAGGCCAGGAGCTCTCCCCTGGGGCACGCCTTGGCCTCACACAGCAGCAAATCTCCACGCCTCACCCGCCAGGACAGGAACGATTCGGGCTTTGTGGAGTCATCTGCAGCCGATCTAAGTTGCTCCCTCCCTGACCACGACTTGGCCGCTTGTGTCCCCAAGGTGCCCGTGCGCCCCTCGGCCCACGAGATCCTCCAGAAGTGCAGCACCGTCACCAAGCGAGCCGTGCAGCAATCCTCTTCCCGGCCGGCACTCCAGGCTCTTCTTCCTCTCCCGAGCGCTCACTAGTGCCCTCGGGGAGGACACGGACCCAGCCACGACCGAGAGCCAGGCACCCTCCTCCCCCAAAGTCCCGCAGGAGCCACGGGCAGCGGCATGGGGAGTGCCAGGGCTTGGGATCGTCACCTTCCAAGGATACGGTTAGATCCCAACAGAACGTGCGTGGAACGCGCGGCTTCCGTGGGCAACACCGACCCGTGCTGCGGCCAGTCTGGCTGGGGAGCCACGAGGGGCTTTACTGAAGTCAGCGGGAGAGGGTTTAGTGGTTTAACGTATCAGGGGAGTCACGGCAGCTGCGGCTCTGGCAGCTCCTGCGCCAGTCAGAGGTCACTTCAGATTCAGTTAATTTTCCCTCGGGCAGGTATTTATCCTGCGGTGCGGTACGTGAAAATTTCACAATCCTTCTGGTGTTAGTTCCCAGCCGGGGCCGGCTGGCAGAGTGCTGCAGCCACCCTGAACAGCAGAGCACAGCCCCGACAGCCCCCCCTTGGGAAATCCAGAGCTACAATTACTGGGACGGGATGATGCAGCCATGCCAATGTCATTTATCTGAACCCCCTATCTTTTATATATATATATACATATTTTTTTAAGGTTAGATTAACTTGCGTAGTGGAGAACTGGCCATCAAATATATGAACTGGCTGGATCTGCTGAATGCTGTGAGAACACAAGAACCTGTTGGCTAGGAACCTCGTCTCTGACCATTCCCTGCAGTGATGTCTGTGCAGGCACAGGAACAAAAATGGTGGTAGTAGAGCTTGTTTCCCAACTGGGTAAAGGGGTCAGGGCTCGTTTTTATGAATAAAACATTCCCCTTTCAAGGGGCTCTGATAGTTACTCAAACTCACAGCAGTTCTCATCCTAAACTCATTTGCTAGAATTGAGTTAGAAAAATAGTTACAGGAAAACTTAAAGACTTTTATATAGATTGCTCTCTTTAGTTATTCTCCCATGTATCTGTTACTTTTTTTTGAAACAAGCGATTTAACCAACTTGCGTGGTGTTTATGTTGTTCTCAATTTTATATGGTTTTGTCTCTAAAATAAAAGATAAATAGCTACAAAGACTGCTTGTTTTGTATACTTCAGGAATTTGCTAGCTGGGGAATTAAAGTGGTGCTCACGTTCCTCCCAGGTGCTCACACTCAGGGTGACCTGCCTCGGCCCAGGCTGCATTTTGCCCAAGCAAAGAAAATATTCCATGACACAACCCTGATGAATACGCGCTGCCTAGCCGGGCTGCGGGACAGGACACCACACCGCCAGTCGCCTCTCCCAGCTCTGCAGGATCCTTAAATCCCCAGTAAAGACCAACTGCTTGTTCCAAGCCAGGTTCTGCCTTTTCTCCAAACTAAGTGCTTGCTGTTTAAGTGTCTGGGCCTGAAAATTCAGGGTGTGAGAACACAAAGGGAAACCACGAAGAAATGGCCCTTTTCACTCAATTAAGCCCCAAGGAGACCGAGCGCTGGACTTGTTTTGGAAATTCAAACTTTAAAAATTTATTATAAAATACAGGAGTATTCCAGCTGCCATACCTGGTGGGAAAGCAGTTCAGGCTCTCCCCTCTGGAAAGAGCAACGGGTGGGAGGAGGGTCACGAAGTCGTGTCTTGCTGCTGGGAGGCATCCGCCAGCCTCATGTTTTGCCACATGAAATCAATGAACATGGAGGCCTGCAGCAACCGGCTCAGCCTCTGAAAATGGCGCTCTGCAAAGAGAGAAACGCCACGGTTGGCAGCACAGGAGAGCGAGCTCACCGGACCGGCGGGCAAAAATCGCTCTTCTCTTTAGACCAAGGCCACCAGGGAGGAGCCCTCGGGCTCCCAGCCCGTCCCCGCGGCGCGACTCACCCGTGTACGGCAGCAGCGACTCCACAGCGGGTTTAATGCCCGAGTACTGCAGGAGGCTGTCCGGTGCTTCGTGCTTCAGGAGGGTTTCAATCACAGCTTGGGCTTCGTGGCAGTTCCGAGTGTTTGTATTCCACGTCACCAAGAATGTCAACACCGCCTCTAGGGTGGAAGACGGGTACACGCCGGCTGTGCCACGGGCGCTGGACACGCCAAATCACCGAGTATCTCTTCTGTTTTAGAGCGGTTCAGCTCCCCCACGCCGTGACCAACGAGCCCAGAGGGGCAGAACAACCATTTCTTGAGCTGCCACCTCCCCGAGCAGGGGGTGGTGAGGCCGGGCAAAGCCACCCGCCCCAGCTCAGAGCAGCAGCTGGTGGGCGCCATGAGCAGCTGGAGCTCAGTGCTAAACGCTGAGTCTAGGGAGATTCCTCTCCTTTTCAGTTCAGTTGAGAAAACAAGCCCCTGACCTGAATGGTTTTAGCGCCTAAACCACGTTGCAACAAACCTTTCTGATCCTTCCGGAGCCGAACAATGTTCTCTTCCAAGTGCTTTCTCCCATCAGCTTCCTTCAGGATGGCTGCAGAAAAGAGAAATGAATAGTCCACGCCGGAGTCCAGCCCATGCACCCGTGGGCTGAGAGCAGGGAGACCATTTGTTACTGGGGGTGATTTCACTTAGGAAAAGAGGAGTCAAGAGAGAAAGGGAAAACTGAGGCTTCCAATTAGACTTTATAGTCTGGACGAGATGTTCTGGAAAGCAAAGGCGGCAGAAAAAACGCCTTCAGAGCGCAGGGACTCACCTTTGACCACCATCAACACCGTGTGCGGCCGATCCAGAGAGATCGCCAACCCCAAAGCTTTGAGGTACCTCTTCTCATGAAGCAGGTTAGAAAGCTCTTGCTCTCTGGAAAACAAATCAGGGTCAAGAGAGTGAGACAAATATTTGGGTGGGGAAAAAAAAAAAAAAAAAGCTATCTAGAAAGTAGATTTGGCAATAATAGCGTGCAGAGGTTTAATGCCAAGAAGTAAACGCAGCTTGGCAATGAATGCCTCGGTGCCCTCAGCGTGCAGATAATCACCCTGGCACGTCCGAGGGCTCCCTGAACTATTCAGTGCTGGCTGAAGCAGGGGAAAGTGAAAGTAGGTTTCAGCAGCTTGACTTTGCTTATCTTAGCAGTGCATAAACATAAAACTAATCAATTGTCAAGCTGACAGTATTATAGCAAGGCTTTGCAGGAACTAAAGATAAACTACCAAATAGAAGAGTCTACTGTGCCTTGACAGCCTCTAAATAGCTAAGTGATGCAATATTCGGATCAGATGGAGCTGGATGGCTCTAGGTGTGGACAGTTTCACTGGACAGTTTGCCTTGCGCAGCTCATTACTGGACAGGATCAACTTACTTCATAATCTGCTCCTCCTGTTTAGCTTGCGCCTCTTTCTCTTCAATTTCAGTGACATCCTATTAAAAAAATAATAAAAAAAAAAAAAAACGAATAAAACTTTGTCAAATCTTGCTTTAATACAGATGAATCTTTATTTAGCCATCAAGTGATTGCAGCAAGATCTCCAGGTCACGTAATTTAAGTGTTAAATCCAGTAACTCTCAACTTCCCTCCAAGCCACCTTTACAACACCAGCACCGGGCAGGCTGCTGAGCCCCATCTGCTGTTCCTTTTACAAAACCCCCCCAAGCCTCAAGATATGCCTTACTGACCCAATTTCAAAGTGCAGAAAACGAGGAGAGCACGTGCCATGCTGGAATAGCGAGGAACAAGCCCCTGGGATCCTGAGCTCTCCAACTGCGTGCTGATTACTAACCCAGAGAGGAGACACAGACAGACCCCATTCCGCACCTTCCACAGCACGATGCAGGAGTCGCTGGATGCTGTCACAACCAGATCATCTTGCTTGTTAGAGTGAAGACCCCAGATTTTATCCTCGTGACCATCTAAAGTTTTCACACACTCATTTGTTTTGATTGTCCAGAGTTTTAAGAGACCATCAGAACCGCTTTGGGGAGAGAAAGAAACACAACAAAAAAACCCAATGCACAGATCCATTCTCACTCTGCCCCACCTCAAATATCAGGTGTAATTCTCCCATCCCACTGCTTTCCAAACAGCAGCAGAATTAACCAGAAATGTCAAGGGCGAGATGCAGCCTCAGCTCTGCCTAACTACAGTGTTTGTCACCAACCCAGCGCCGTCAGCAGCTCACTGGAATGCACAGTGCAGCAGGAGAAGAGGAAGATAAGTTAGCTCCTGCAGAAAGCCTGGCATAAACATGGCCTCTTCCCATCAGTCTTTCCAAATCCGTTGCACAAGACTCTTCCCTCTTGCTGCTGTTATCAGCTGAGAGATTTCTCTTCTGATTAGTTTTGGCATCTTCCTTTAGACTCCTGGTGTAGGCACGTACCTGCTGAGCAGTTGCGTTCCTCGGCTTACAAAAATGATTTTCAGTACGGAGGCATCGTGACCTTCAAAGGTCTGGAAAACAGAAAGGAAGCTCGAAAGCGTTAAGAGTTGTTGCCTGCCCTTTCAAGGGGATAATATTTCCTTCTGAATCGCTAAGTTCCAAAAAGCAGCCTCCATCCTTGGGACTATTACAGTAGGTTAAAAGGGCAGCAGGAAATTACTTGTCCCCATACCATTTCTTCAACCAACCCGCCTGCTTGAGCTTGTTGGCCAAGGTCACATTGCAAACGGTGTGAACGGTGAGGCCAGCTGCACAGGCTGCCCCCCCAAAAAGGCTGATTCCCCCGTCACTGCACGAAGCGCCCGCGCAGGGAGGTAAAGCTGCTGGGCAGAGCGTGGCACCGAGTTAGCAACTGCCTTTCTCACAGTCTTAGTGAGACACCACTGGACTGGAAAAACAGTTGTTCTGCGAAGAGGGAGTCTGAAATCTCAACCTGTGTGTTTTGACTTGATGGCCACAGCTGTGTCAGGCAAAGCCAGCCTTCTTTCAATAGCGTGAATGTGCTTTTCCCCTACGATCAACCACGTTGCTCCTTGGTTAGCTAGAAAAGAAATCACTTGAGCACTGGGCAGATGGCCCAGTCCTGGAGCTCTGCATGTAGCTCACAGCTCCAAGATCCCCGAGAACAAGGCTAGACCTGGATAGCTCTCCCTTCAGCATGGCCACGTTGCTATGTTTCAGCTGCACTAGGTAGCACATGCTTTTCTAAAGCAGCTTTAATCCACCCCCATAACATGCCAGGGTTGTCTAGAGGAAGGGGCAGTCGGAGCTCTCATTACCTTCAGACAGCTGAAGTCCCGAAGACCCCAAAGCTTCAGGGTCCCGTCTGCTGACGAGGTGGCCAAGATCTGATCCACTGGGGAAAACTGCACACACCAGACCCCACGCTTATGTCCGGTGAAGACACCCAGCAAAGAGCAATCGGAACAGGACCACAGCTTGGCCAGCCGATCCTGCGAGCCTGTGGCAATCAGCTTGTCATTTGGAGAAACTGCCACGCTGTTTATGTCCTGGGGAAGTCACACAAGTACAGAGAGAGCAGAGCAGTTTAAGCCTTTCTTCTAGCTGCCAGACAGGTAATAAATGCAGGGTCCAACACAGGAAAAAAAGATCTAAGTACTAAAAGCGTCTTCTAACGTCTGGTGGAGCTTTACCTTGTTATGACCCCTCTCGGTCACTTTTGCATGAAGGGTTTCTGGACTGGAGATCAAGGCTGCTTTTGCTTTGGAAGTGAGGGATTCCGGGATATTCCAGATCTTGATCGTGCAGTCCTGACTGCTGGTTACTATGAAGTTTTCTTTCAGTCTGAAAGAAATAAAAATGACAAGTGTAAGGAAGCAAAACAGTGGCTTCCCCTGCACACACCAAAAAAAAAAAAAGACCCTCTCCTCCCCTACTGGGATCTACACACATTCAGTCACTCTGCTGGGATGTGAAACTGCATTTTCATGTGTTTTCAAGCTTTCATTTGATTTAGGTCCCTGGGATAGCCTCCAGCAATTCAGACATTAGGCAAGAGCGTTGCTAGCTCTCTTCATTTCGAGACAAAGGTGTACTGCAGCTCTTGGACAGGCAAGCTGGGCTTCCAGACTGTCAGGCAGCACAAAGAAAGGAGAAGAGCTGATAAACAGACGTGCTGTTCAAGCAAGCACCTTCGTGGACACGTTCCCTTCACTTCCCAACCCTCCTCCCCACATCACTCAAGCTTTATCTGGCAACTTAACCT